CCCCCCCCCCCCCCCCCCCCCCCGTCCCCCCATCCGGTTTCCTCTAATGTATCACTTTACACAGTCACGAGCATTTGTGAAAACCAATATGGGAACAACAGACACCTTTTTTTTTTTTAGGTGTGGCTGAAGGTACCATTTTTGATCCCTGGTTTCAGGTGAGCGGACTGAGGCTCAGCGACTTGCTCAAGGTCATGCGGGCGGTGGCAAATGGAATCAGAATTGGAACCAAGGCAGCCTGGAACCTTCTCTGTAGTCCAATGCTACCCCCTCCACCCCCCAGGGCAGTTCCAGTGTGAAAGAGCCCGTGTGGCTCTCCCGGAAGCAGTGTGACCTAGGAATCGGCGCTTTTCACTTCAGTCCCAATAGCTGCGGGCTAGAATCGATCACAAGGGGAAATCCATTTCATTGGGGGAGAGGAACACATCAGGCCGAGTTGGGAGAAATAAAATACATTAAGTCAGGGAACTCAGGTGGGGGGGGGGACGATGGGAGGAACAGGCAACACAGAATTGGACTATGGCCCTGAGCAATTGTTCAAGATCATGGGGCCTGTGTGTCCAGGTGGAGCCCAGGGTCTCACGGGGAGACAGGGCTGGGCAGCCCCTCCAGGTGACCTTAGCCATGGTACCCCACCCTCAGGGAACAAGGCTGCAGTGAAACTCCTTAGGACACAGGGGTTCGAGTGAGGGGTTGGGAGGGACTCGTGCAGGGGACAAAGGCTGAGATCACAAGCAGGTGGCCTTGGGCTGCATCTAGAAGTGAGTGGACTGTTGTGTCCCCTTGACATGTGGGAGCCCACACTGCCACTCCTGTTTGACCCCGTGGCTCTAGCTGAATGGGATGCTAAGCTTTGACTGTTGATGAAGGGTCCCAGGCCCTCTGGAATCATCTGGGATTCCTATCAGGAATTCAGCGATTCCCAGATTCTGTGATAAGGAACCCCAGGGCAACCACCTTGTAGATCAGCCGAAGACCTGAATCAGATCCTTGCCCGTCTTAGTGGCCTCTGCCTTCTTTTCCTTTCCTTCCCCCTCCTCTCTTCTTCTCTCCCCTCCTCCCCCTCTCTCTCTTTATCATAATTTTTGGGGGGTACCAGGGATTGAACTCAGGGGCACTCAACCACCAGGGATGAGCCACATCCCCAGCCCTTTTATGTATATTATCTAGAGACAGGGTCTCACTGAGTGGCTTAGCACCTCATTTTTGCTGAGGCTGGCTTTGAACTTGAGATCCTCCTGCCTCAGCCTCCAGAGCCGCTGGGATTACAGGTGTGTGCCACTGTGCCCAATTGTTTACCAAAAATCTCAGTGAGGACAAGTCGAGCCTGAGAAATTGAGCACATGCCATGCATACAGGGGCTTTGGTGACCTGGCTTAGCCTGCTAGCAACTTCTGTCCTGATAGCCTTTCCTGACCTCAACTGCCCTCAAGAAGGTGGCGGGGCAGAAGGAGATGCTGCATCTCTGTGCACGAGCCGTGTGTTATTACTTACCACTGATCACACCTGCTCCAGACGTGGCATCAATGTTCTTATTAGTTCCTTCCAACATCCCTATATAGGGGATGCTTTGTACCCATTTAACATATGAGGATGTGGCGAGGTTGGGGAACTTGGCCAAGGAGATGGTGAGGTCCTGCTTGAATGCAGGTTCATCTCTACACTATGTTGCCTCTTTACATCTGAGAGTCGAATTTTTGTAGCTTGTTTGCAAATTTTATAACGATTTTCACTGTAATCTCAGAGGAGTGTTGCTCTTCAGTTGCAAAAAGTCCCAAGACCACATAAAATTTATTTTTTAAAAAAACACAAGACCACGCTGGGCGTGATGGGGCACGCCTGTAATCGTAGCGATGCAGGAAGCCAAAGCAGGAGGCCCTCAAGGTTGAGGCCAGCCTCAGCAATTTAGCAGGACTCTTTCTCAAAATAATAAAGAATAAATAAAAGGGCTGGGAACGTATCTCAGTGGTAGAGTGCCACGGGGTTCCGTCCTCAGGGCCAACAAGAGAAAACGACAACAACAGAAACCAAGACTAAGTGACTAAATAAAGTCACTTATTTTGAGATAGAGCATGAAAACCAAAGCAGGAAGTACTTTGCTCGTGATCACATTTTCGCATTTGGTCTGTTGAAGACTTGGCCGAAGCTGCCCCAGCCCCCCTTCCCACCAATGGTCAATGGAACCCCTTCCCTTGCCCAGTGGTAATGGACATGAAAGGGCTCTCTCTGTAAGCAGAGCGCTGTGCGTGTACCGAAGATGGCTAAGGTTTCATCAAAGGATGGGGGTGAGCAAGTGGGAGGGTCCCCTTCCTGTAACTTGTGTCCAAACCGCCACAGGGGTCAGCCCAGCAGGCCCTCGGGCTCGGCACACCACCCAGTGTGGCCACCTGTGGCTCTCTGACTGAAGTCACCATCCTAGGGGACTGGCAGCCACTGGTGGCTCCTTGTAGGGGGTGGAAGGATTAGAGGACCGGGTGCAGGCAGGGGTCAGAGCAGCTGCCGCCCAGTCCACGGAGGAGCGTGGAGGGCCCATCCGCATCCCGCCTTCCCCCCCAGCACGTGTCCCCTCCCCACTCACCAGCCGCCACCAGCAGCCCACACAGCAGGGCAAGTCTCATGACGCCAGCTCAGAGCAGCGCAGGCAACTTCTAGAAGCACCCGCATGCAGGCCGGGCAGGGGCACGGGCACTTATACCAGATGCACCCGCCCAGCCTCGCCCCCACCAGTTCCAGCCCCATCTCCAGGGGAAATGACCTCTGCTCCTTCGGCTTCCTCTTTTCTGGGGTTGAGAAATTGTGATTTTTGTTTTTCTCTTTTTTCTGTGCAGCGCTGGGAATCAAACCCAGGACCTCACGCACTGTAGGCAAGTGCTTTCCCACGGAGCCTCATCCCAGCCCCACTTTCCCTGTTTAATAAACGAAACATAAATCCAATTTGGAAGATTTAGAATAAATAAACAGCAAGAAATTTGGAATCACCTGCAAATCCATGAAATGTTGATATTTTGGTGTACGGGCTGCTGGCCCGATTATTGTCTGTCTGTCAATCATCTACCTACCCACCCATTATCTATCTTTATAACTCCATACTTTTCCCCAACCAAACTAGGAAAGAGTTACATGTAGTACTTTGTAGTCGGTCCTTTTCACTTACTGATGTGATTTGAGTGTGTCATTTGAGCTACGTTGTTGAATATTCTTTTGCAGTAACATTCTGAGAGCTGGCCTCCAATTCCACTATACAGCTCTACCATTTATTTGATGACTCCCTTATTGATGGACACGTGGACTGTTCCCAATTTTTTACTGTTCTAGTGAAGTGAAAGAACTACCACGCATCTCGGTTCATGCCCAGAATCCTTTCCTGATGTGGACTTGCTGAGTCAAAGCCCGGCACAATTTCAAGACGACTGGGTATTGTCAACGAAGCCCCAGCTTATGTGTGAGAATCTAATGAGACAAATGGTGTGTGGCCCCAGCCCAGCAAGGGCAGGCACGGCTGGCAGGATGCGCTGGGCATTGCACAGGGCCATCAGCCTTGAGAGTTCCAAGGAACTGTAGAAAGTGGTTTTTTGGTGGCCGGGGACGGTTACTCTGTTTTGGACATCACGCCCAGGCCTACCTCCTCGCTGCTGGCTAATCAGTTCACACCAAAAATTGTGCTGGCAACAGTCTCTGCTGGAAGATTCACTGTTTCTCAGGTCCCCTCTCTCTCCTCTCTCCTCTCTCTCTTCTAAATCCGATTTTGTCTTTTCTCCTTAACTCAGTAACCAACTGGCCACCTCATAAATGAGAAAACAACCTACATGCAAAATAATTAAATAGCATGCAAACCAGATGTCTCTGACATATTCTTTTTCAAAAATACACTTCAGGGGGGTATGATTGGCATGCAATTAACAACAAGCATTCAACGTACACAGCTCGATGAGTTTGGGGATGAATGTGCACCTGTGGAGGCATCACCACCAAGAAGACCACGGACATGACCTCACCTCCAAGGCCTCCTCCCATCTGGCATAGTCTTTGATATGCCTCCCCTGGGCATGCTCAATACTCATTCCTTTCCACTGTCCACGGGGTGCTTTACACTAAAAATAAATAAGTAAAGCTCACCAGGGCAAGAGGCTATGTCTCCCTCCCTGGTACTCTTGGGGCAAAAGCAGAAGTAGCAGAATCCCAGCTCTGCGCTGGTTCCAGGGAACCTTTCCCCACCGAGCGAGAAAGCAAATACCGATGCTGCAAAGAGCCTTAAACACTCCACTTCCCGGCACCTCCAGGGCTCCACAGCGCTTCCATCAGGATGAGTTCGCAGCCAGAGAGACCTGGTTCAAATGGTGGGCCCTTCTCTTGCCAGCTGTGGGACCCTGGGCAAATCACTTCACCTCCATGGGCCTTGGTTTCCTGATTTGCACAACGGGGCCAGGGGCTCCTCCCTTTTCTGATTGCTGTGAGGTCTCAAGGTACTGGGCACAAGGCACACTGCACCCACCTTGCTCCTTGAAAGGTGCCATTAGGCCAACACGACTCTGGGGCTGTCATTATGTGGAGGTCAGGAGGACCAGGGAGAAGGCCTGGCCTCCCCAACACCCCAGCCGCTTAACATGAAGCAAGTTGTTTAGCTCCATGTTTTCTATCCCTCCCACCCCGTGTAAAATAGGTGGGGACGGTACCCACTCCATAGGACTGCTGTGAGGGTTTATGGAGATGGTATATGCCATGGTTTGGAAATGGTTGGAGGGAGCTGGGTCCCCACTATGACAATGTTAACAGGTAGTGAGACCTTGAAGAGATGGGGCTTAGCAGGAGGTCATTACTGACTCTCCCCATCTCTCTGACTTCCTGTCTAGACATGTGATCTCTCCCCCTTACATGTGCTCCTGCCATGATGCCATTCATTGCACTGTGACACAGTCAAAGAGGACCTCACCAGAGACAGAAGCCATGTGGTTGCCCAATCTAGGTAAGCCTCTAAAATTGTGAGCTTAATAAACCTTTTTTCTTTCTAAGGTATAAGACCTCAGGTATTTTGTTATAGTAACTGAAACTGGGCTCATACAACACGTGAAAAGGGCTTGGTCCATAGCTGGAGACCAATAAATGTGGTCTGTGGTTACTCCCATCAGCAGCATCAGTATCATCAACCCTTCTTTATCCTCATCATTACTGTTTATCTAAATAGAATAAATAGCTATCCTTTTCTTTTGTGTTGTCTAACCTGCTATTCATCCTATGCCTCATCTCAGCGTGTTTTTTCCCTCTATAAATTTGAGCTGGGTCTTATTTTTATCTTCAATGCTTCTCAATGTATTCACGCTTTCCTTTATCTTCTTAAACATATAGATGTTGTTGTAACTTTCAACCTTCCTAATTCTATCTCTGGGGTCATTTCTGGGTCTTTTCCTATGGTTTGTTGGCTTCTTTAGATTTCCAGAAGTGAATTTGCTGTGGCCCAAGGTGGTGAGATGTTAGACTTCTCCATTCTCTGAAAGTTCACATGGACTTAGAACCCCCTGCTTCTGTGGCAGCTGCAGTATCTCGGAGCCTTTCAGACCTGAGTATCTCAAGACTTGCCAGAAAGTCTGTGCTTTGGGGTCACTGGTCACAGCTGGAAAAACCCTGCTGACCCTGCTGGACCAGAGTCAGCAACTCTCCAGGTGGGGGTGGAAGGGAGCAGGAGGGAGCTTGGATGCTGGAGAGAAGTCTCTAATATTAACAGTCACCACTGTGCGGGTCTCGCCAGGTGCCAGGCCCTGGGCTGTTACTTTGTTTTGTATCCACAGCCACGTTAGGAAGGAGAGGCAGCTATTCCCCTTCTATAGGTGGGGAAACTGGGGCTCAGGGAGGTTAGAAACTTAGGGTCACAGAGCAGGTACATGGCAGAGCTGGGGTTAGCACAGGTGCCTGCCAGAGGCCACCCTTACTAGGCCACACTTCACATCTGTGGGATGTAATCAGGCACTACCCTCGTCCCTATTTCACAGAAGAGTCTGTATACAGGTGTTCCCCCAGGGTGCTTCCTCACACTCCCAGCCCAGACAGGTGTGGAAGGGAGAGCATCCGGCAGAACCTGCAGCCCCAACCGCACTGCAGGAAGGAGAGGAGCCTCCTCCTCCAGAGATCTCCCATGAGTGACAGCATGATCTTCCAATCAGTGTCCAGAGCCCTCCCCTCCCTGCAAAGCCCCTGTTACCAGAACAGATGCCTGCCTGGATCCCACCCATGAGGGTGCAGCTCAGAAGCACAGCAACTGTGCAGGAGCAGGGACCTGGACTTCTGGTCCTGCCAGGGGGGCGGATGCTAGGGGAGACACTTGAACTTGGCCTTGGTAGGAGGGTGACCACTCTTTCCCTTCTGTACCAGGCAGAAGACCACAGAGACCTCTCAGATGTCTGTCAACCACAGAATGGATGAAACATGGTGATCTGGATGAATCTCATACACATGGCAGGATAGAGGGCGGGCTGTCAGGGATTCCATCTTAATGACGTCCCAAAGTCAGGACAGCGGTTGCCCACAGATATGCATGGTGACTGCAAGGGGTCCTGAGAGGTCTTTGAGGTGCTGCTGATGTTCTGTCTCTGGGTGCTGGTTGCATGAACACAGTCAACTGTGAAAATTCATCTAGTAGCCGGGTCACGGGCTGTGCATTTTCCTGTCTATGTTATCCTTCAGTACATTTCCACCATAACAATGAGGATGATGATAATTAAAAATCACCTGGGCTCAAACCTCAGCAAGGAAGTCCTTCAGTGGGGCCTTCCAGATGGGGGGGTGTCCTAGACTGTGAACAGCTGAGGTCACATAGTGAAAGGAAAGCCACCGAAGTGATATCACACAGCTCTGGCTTCAAATTCTCGCTTAGTAAAAGGGTTGCTTGGATCATGTCACTTGATCTCTTGAAGTCCCATTTCCCGTCTGAAAAATGGGGCCCATGGGACCCTGCAGCCTTGTCATGATTATAGGTAGGATGATTGGCACACAATAGAGGGTCAATAAAGGCATGACCCCTGGTGACCCCTCCCTCCAGGAGGAAAGAGGCTGACAGATGGAAGGGACCGGAATGTGGACTTCCCTCTGCGGGCAGGCTGGGAGAGCCTTGTTTCCAAACCTGGGGGATTTCCACGGCAACCTCTCAGTTTACTCAGGGTGATTGAGGAAAGCACCTTCAAACTCCCTTAAAACCCCTCACCAGCAGCTTTGAGATGGCCACTGCCGGAAGGTTCTTGCTTGTTTTCAAGCCAGCCCAGCCCCCGCTGCCTTTCCCAGGGCAACAGAGCCTGGCATTCAGAAGGAGGCTTGGGGTCACACAGACCTGCCTTGGATCCTGACCCCCCTCTGTTTCGTCATCGGCTAAATGGGTGGGGGGAATGGGACAATGTCAGCGGCTCGGGCTGCCACAGAGACTCCAAGACAGGACCCAGGGCAAGCAGGGCACTTGGCCGTGTGCCTTGTTTACAGTCAGTGGCCACTAATTGTTGTTGGTGGTGTTATTAGTATTGGTTTAGGGGAGTCGGAGCACACTGCTGGGACATCTCACAGGAGGATATGCAAACACTGCACCATCCTAATAAGGAACCAGAGCACCTTGGATCTTGGTAACTGAGAAGGGGACCTGGAACGACCCTCCACACATCCTGAAGGATGGCTGTATTTAAAACGAACAAGTTGATTTTTTGACATAGGTATACCTCTTTGAAATGGCCATCAC